TATATTAGCTCTAGCTTTTATATATAAATACTCATCTACTATACCGTGTAAAGACATCTTGAAATAATAAAATTTCGATTCCAAGCTCTCGTCTTCTCCCTGTTTTCTTTGATACTGTGTGGTACCATTTTCTACAGGTACGATCATAGGTTCTACCTGTGCGCTCGTTAAATTTTTTGGTTAAGTTTTCTCAGCCTTCCTTACTAATGTGAATAGTTGATTTGTTTCCCAAATCTATCTCCTTAATACGGATGTCATCGTAAATTAATGTAGTCTCCATCTCCCATGTTGCTAGGGCCCCTTCTTCTCTCTGCTTTCCCTTTTTTTTTTTAGTTAGGGGACCTACATATTAGTAAGTTAGTAAAGTGTGATATAATTTTCAATTTGCTGTGAATAAGGTGCATTGTGGAGTTTGGCAAAACATTAGCAATCAAATGCCGGCCACTTGTAGGTTTCAGCAAAATCTGTTATGTTTTTTTAAGTATAATACCTATTTTTTATGAGTATTTTCTTGTTCCGCCATTAATTAACTATTTTTTTAATTAGTTCCCCATTTGCAAGTAATTGTCAACTTTGGATGTTTCTTGATCTTTATTTGAATCTTTATAAATAGAGACCAAATAAAATTGAAAAAAGACAAAGGAAATTGAATGAAAATTGATTTTTTTAACCTAAAATCTCTCTCCTTCTTACCAGTTTGCCCCCTAAGCACAAGGAAGCCAAAGTCAATGGCCACTCTATGTCTCCATCTATTTTCTATATACAAAAGTAAGTTAGAATAAAAAACCCAGTGTTCCTGCACCAGTAGCAGCAGTTGTGGGACAATACTCCAAGGAAGGAGATATTCATGTTCTTCCTTTATTTGTTGTTTAGTAGCACTATAAGAAAAATTCGAAGGAGGGGGAGAAAGGTAAAAACAACAAGCTAAATGCAATGAAAAGCCGAAGGAGCTCTTGGCCGATAAAGGAGAAAGGTCTTGGAGAAGGTTTAGAAGAAACAAAATAGGCCTCATTATGTTATTATGATAGCATTCTTTTCAAATTGCTCACCAAATTAACTTATTTTGTTTGTGTTTGCTAATTTTTATTTGCGTGAATTGTTTGTCACTAATGTGTTGGGCCTTTACATTTCATTATCGACAGAAAAAGAGCTGTTGGCCAATAAAGGAGAATAGCAAGAAATCATAATTATCGAAAAAGAAAACAAAAAAATCTAAACCTCTAAATTTCGGTTCTAAAGAGTTGGATGAGTTCTGGGAGCACCGAGATCTTATTGAACAACTTCATAGATGGCAATTGGTAGATACCTTGCGAATCGACCAAGAAAAGCTCGCCTTAACATCCTTTTGGTGGTGGTGACGACACAATGAATAACATCTGAAGATGTGCAACATGAAAGGAACAAAGATTTGTATTAAGCACCCCTCAGTGTTGAAGCAACTGGCTAACAGAAAGGTTGAAGTAATTTTATTAAAAGATTTGACGGTAACTAAAGAAAATGGTTAGGTGGTAGGACTTAGGGCAATATTAACGGCAATCGGAGGAGGAAATTTGTCGGCATATGGAAGAGCATGTTCGGTGCTTGTGGGGCGAGATAAGGTTGTGTTTGCTCAAATATGAGGGGTCTTACCTATGGATGATGATTGTTTCATAAAAATGGGTGGATTTGAATAGGTTTGAGTTGTTTTTGCAGGGCTAAGCAGGTGGATAGAGGAAGAAAAAGAGCATACCCGATAAAGAAGAGGTGCTGGAAGGTGCTGGAGAGGAATCTCCAACCTTTTTGCAGAGGCGATTTCTGGGCGCCTAAAGGAAAATGGGATGCGAATTGGTGGTTGAGAGCGTAGGCTTCCAACTAAGAGGTCGAAGGTTCGAGTCTATGTGTATGCGTTGTGTGTGTGATTTTGCCTTAAATGGCCCAAATGTCCCAAAAAAATTTTGTTCAGCTCTATTTTGCTTGAAGGCGTCATGACCAAGACGACAACGATCTTTCTTGCATACATGCGTGGTAAAATAGATAAAACAGATGAGCAGATGGCATATCGCTCTTAGGGGTGTCAACTTTTGACCCGACCCGAAAACCCGACCCGGACCCGACCCGAAAAATCCGAGTTGAACCCGACCCGTTTGATAAACGGGTCGGGTTCGGGTTGACCTGGCGGGTTGCCGGGTCAACCCGAAAACCCGTTTAATTTTAAAAATTTTGAATTCCAAACTTATAAATAATATATAAAGATTTAACTTATGCAATTTACAAAATATCAAAATATAAAATAAGAATCGATTTAAATCTTGGTTAACTTTCATCAAAGACATTAAAATCTCCATGAATTTCGAATTACGCCAGGCATATAGGAGTGATAGATCAAACATTTACATATTAATAAATATGAATAAAAAAATTTAGAGGAAAAATATTATTGGGCCGAATGCCTGTATTATATTTAAAATATAATGACTCTAACAATTTAATATGTTGAAAATAAAATATTAGGATAAGTGAAACTGTTAATGCAATTTTTTCTATTGTAATGGCGAGAGGCGAGCACTTTAATGATTCAATTAATTAAAATAGTTGAATGACCTATTTTTATAAATAAAAATACAAAGCTGAGATTAAAATTATTATAATAAATTTTAAAAATATATTTAAAATTTAACACATGAAGGACTATGAATAATTTTTATAATATCAATACATATTAATGCTCGATCGACGTGCTGTTTTACATTAAGGAGTTAAGAGTATTTTCGATTTTTTTTCTTTCAAAACGGAGGTCATCACAGCATAAGAAAAAATAAAAAACCTTTTAGGCCGGTGAAGAAAATAAGTTTTGAAGAAAAAAAAAAGAATGTCGGGATGAGAAGAACCCAATGATATCAAAAGTAGCTCAATTCGTGTTCGAATTAGCCCATATCAAGCACTTGATGTGTAATTGGAAACATCAGAATACTAATTTGATTATCAAACTATCTTCAAATCTTGCATGCTTATAATCGAATCAAACAATATAACAAGACGGATCCAATGAGCGTGGGATCATCAAATTCCAGCAACAATAAGTCTTAGAAATGATGAAGGAATGATTTCTAATTGAGAGAATTAATATGTGCCATTTACTGGAGTGTTTTGAATTTTAACTATATTTATAGAGCATGACACTACCTAAAATCTGCAATAAGCCATCAAAGAGAACACTCTCTACATGGGAGGGAATGAGAGCTTAGACCTCTTGGCTAGAGATTCAAGAAAGTTCGAAGGTATGAGGAATCCTGAAACTTCACTCAAGTACCACTACCAAACCACTTTTTGAATGTTGTTATCAAATCTCTGCCAAAACTCCATGTTGGACCACCACCTAATCATCATTGTGGGACCATTGAGTGATCACCATTGTCATACCACTGTCACCTAGCCGTGGTCCTCCAACCCTTGACCACTCCTTTGCCCAACTATACTATCCTCCAATCACAATTGCTAGACTAAGATCATTCAACCTCCAACTATTTTCGTCAGTCCCCCGACCAACGTCATCCAATTACAATCATCTAACCACTATCGCGTGACTACAATTATCTTACCATCATTGCCCGGTGACAATTCTTCGATCACTTTTGCCCAACTATGATTCTTTATCCTACAATCTTATGATCATTTTCACCTAACTACACTAACATCAACTAATTTTATCACCTATCATTGTCAATAATATTAAAGCATGCCATCGTTTATAAGATTAATGCTTGTCATCGATACGAACATTGGCTTTCAGCATCAGTACTAAAGTTTACAATTTATGTTGGACTTTTTTATCTCTAATCTTCACTGCTCAAAGGAGTATGACGCAACAAAGAATCAAATAATCTTTTAAAGACAACTCTTATGCCATATATGTTCCATGCATTACATGTTCACTACATTGAATTAATGTCTTCCCCTCATGAAGGATATCATTTGTAATCAATGACAAACACTAGTAGAATTATTTTTGTTGCATCAAGTCAAGTGGTGTTTCCTTTCCTGATTTTTTCATATAAAAACTATGACGTCTCTTAGAATTCATAGACTCCTCTCTTATCTCTATGTGTTCACAACAATGCTACAAAAAAAAATTATTCTTATTACTGCCATGAATGCACTGGTAAACAATAGAACTCTACACACCCTTTAAATAAAATATTTTTATTTTAAACAAAATAATTAAACATAACTCTCAAAAATAATTTGATTCACATCCTATCAATACAAGAAATTTAAATGCCACAACCAGGGGCATAACTGAGTCAAGGCTAGCTCAGGCTTAACTTGATAAAAGGCTGGTGAGCTTAGCTCAACGAGCTAACAAGCTAATCTTAAGCCAACCATGACCCTAGTCGTTAGCTTGTGAACCTGCTCTTCTAAAACTATTAATATAAAATGCACTTAAAAATTTATCATTCATTATTTTAAGCATAAATTTATTAAAAATATTTCAAAATTATATCTTAATTTCTATATTAAGTAATTCTTTACTATTTTTCTTTTAAATTTTCATTCTTTTTGCCATTTTATTATAATGATTACTAGAATTATAATTATTTTTCTCTCTTTCATAGTAAGCAAGCCCACTTGTGAGTCACGTTGTGCTTGTAAAATAAAACTTGGGCTCAAGCTCAACCTCAATTAATCAATCAAGTTGAAGCTTTTTAATGATGACTCAAACTCGGCTTAACTCATTTATACCCTAAGCCACACATCAGTAATTGGATTAATTATTCTATGGGGACGCCAAACTTCGTCCGGAAACTAACCAGAATGTGCCACGTCACCTCTTTACCACTGACGTGACACATTCTAGCTGATCTCGAAATGACATTTTGTGTCCGGTCTTTGCACAAAATAATTTCTAGAGCAATTGACTCCTTCATGCCACAATTACAATCACCGATGGGTTACTGGATTCAGGTCAGCAGCTGAGCTGCGTCGTTTGTCCTTCCCTGCTCTCTATAATAGCCTAATAGGTTTTTTAACTTCCCAGCTGCCTATCTCATCACAAAGGGGAAGTAGATAAAACAAGAGAAATTCTACTCTGATCGAAGACTTGAGACGTGGTCAAAAATTCGGAGAGAGATGGGCGGATCTTGGATCTGGCTGGCAACCCTAACCCTAGCTTTCTTTGCAGCGGCTTCCTTCGCCGAGGACGATGTTGTCGTTCTGACGGAAGCCAACTTCGACAAGGAGGTGGGCCAGGATCGCGGCGCCCTCGTTGAGTTCTACGCTCCATGGTTATTTCTCTTTTTTGTGACCATTGCATCGACCAGCTTGCTTGGCTTTTTTATGTTTATTTTCTTTGTTCAAGCTTTTGTGTTCTGTGAATGGATTGGCGGACCTTGAAATTCGATTTAGTACAGAGTACGATGTCTGCAAGGAGTATAATTCAATTATTTATCGATGATGTTCGATATATCATTGACATGAGGGAGTTCTGATTTGACATGGCACTCTCGGTATTTATGGCATCTTCTCAATAATTTTTTCTGTGTTGTTGGAGAAACTTAACCATTTAGTTTTCTGCATGCATCTATCTTACGTTGAAGTTGGCTTAATATTTAATGAATAATAGTGGAAGCTTGATCAAAAAATTTTGAATAATTTCTTGTTTTCGTCGGTGGTAACCTGATTCCTTTCGCTGAGATCATTATAGTTAGTAGATTGTAGTTTGGATTACTGTTGTGAATAATCTAATCTTATCTTAAGTTGATCTGGCCTTCTCAAGACTGGCCTGATGTTTTTTGGTCCTATCTTGATATGATTGATGCTTAGATATGTGTTAGCTTGATCCAATCTGAATTTGTGTGAGTCCTTATCTTTATTTTTTTTATCATATCCAAAAACTGTTCCATTTTCAAGCGATCCTTGATCTTCAAGTTAAATTCTTAGCCCTAGGTTGGATTGCACTTGATAGGTGAAGGGTTTGAAATGAAGGCATCAACATTTATTATAATTGATTACAAGGGTTGTTGGAAACGATATTTTTCTCTTAAAATATTTGATCTTGCCTTGTAGTTAACTGCCCTTTTACTGATAATCAGATGACTAGCTGGAGGGCACTTTGTATGAACTTCAGTAAATAAGAAAAACTACATTGCCTTGAATTCACTGGATTTACTTTTCGCAAATTTTGGATGGAGTAGGCAAATCACAGTTTATCTGCTGTAAGTAGATTGAAATGCTGTCCAAACTCCATTAACCTCATCCATGGAAGATCCATAAAGTTTATGTTACTATATGGCTGATGCTAGAGTGGGTTATAAATCAAATTTCACAATAGTGGATGCCATTCATTACAAAAAAGTTTTAAGTGCAATTTAGTAAGACGTGTGAGTTGAATTAGCATGGGTAGAACATATTGATATTGTTAACATGATTTTTGTGTTTGGAATATCAACAACGTTATTTTCAAGAAATAGTTGCTCCTTTTTCCTCTGATATGTTGTAGTAGTATTTCAAGTTTCCCTTTGGACAGTTGTTTTTTAAATCTAAACACACAAGTATGTCTTCTATTTCTGTGGGTTATGAAAGTTGCAAAGCAGATGCCAGTTGCTACTTGTATTTGTCGTTAACTCCTTCTGAAGCACGTTCTTCTATGCAGACATTGTAAAGGAAAATCATTATGTTTCTTTCCTCAGTTTTGTAGTCTGATTGTTTACTTTGTACTTAGCCATTGCAATGATTTGCAGGTGTGGGCACTGTAAGAAGCTTGCTCCTGAGTACGAGACACTTGGTTCTAGTTTTAAAAAAGCTAAATCTGTGCTTATTGCAAAGGTTGGTGCTGTTTTCATTATCGTTTAAAAAAATAAAACTTCCTTCAAGGATATTGATTTCTGAATTGTTCATTCTTCTTATTTGGCATCTAAATGAATATCAATTATTTGACTTTTATTTGATTACGATGATATTAGCATAAATGTTGTAATAGTGACATTTTTTAAGAGTGGATGCGCTCATGTGAGTCTTTCATTTTCTTAGTCCTAGAGAGAATGTTGTTGATTGTGATCTTGTTTGATTCGATACTTACTACTTCGTTTGTTCTGGTCAATGCAGGTTGACTGTGATGACCAGAAAAGCTTGTGCAGCAAATATGGGGTTCAAGGTTACCCAACCCTCCAATGGTTTCCAAAAGGTTCTTTGGAGCCAAAAAAGTGAGTGCCCATGTCATATCTTTTGTTGAAAGGTCTATTATTTTACATTTCACCTTAGATGGAGCTCTGAATCACTTATTGTAAATATGTCATTGTTTTTTAGAAGTTACAAAACTAACATCTTGCTTTGTATTTGAAGGTATGAAGGCCCTAGGACAGCGGAAGCTCTTATTGAATTTGTTAACAATGAAGGAGGTGCATATTTACTTATCATTCATTTTATTTCAAAAGTGGTTTTCAGAAGATGGTATCTTAATAATTTTAAGACATCTGATTGTCCCATCTCCTACCTAGGAAAATAATTATATTGATTATTATGATCTCACAGAATGAATAGTATATTCTCTGGAATTTTCTGGTAAAACAGCCAATTTCAGATAGATTGATTTTTGTATCTTCTAATGTGTGATTTATAAAATGATAGGTCGATTCTGTTTTTTTTTTAAGTCTTTTAATTTATTCTAATGTATGATTCATAAAATGATAGGTTGATTCTCTTAGAGAGAGAGGATTTTATGAGATTTGAACTGGGAAAGCAAAGGTTTTAAAATTTTTGTTGTTGTGTTTCGCATGTAGCTAGTTTTTAGGGTTAATAGTTAAGGCTTTTAATCATGGAGCTTAGCTTTGAAGTAGGAATGTGGTTTGATGAAATTCATCCTAGAGGTATATGACAGGTTTCATTCAAGAGAATTAAAGGTGATATAATGGATGTTTAAATTTGGACAAGAGTTAAAGTAAATTTGAGGATAACATCCATGTACTTTGGTTTTGTAAGATCTGATCAATATCTTGATTGGTAATTGGTCTAGGTGTCACTGCATTTAGAACATCTACGTATTTGTAATGTTATTTCAATCTATCTGATAGTTTTGTTGGCTGAAATATTTAGAGAATACTTAATTGAAATAAATTCAGTCTATCCCTTTGATTAAATACCTTGAAATATTTGAAAACAAACTATTCATTACCTTAAAATGAATCCTATAAATCATTGCTTTATTTTCATATCCAGACAAGAGGTCCTACCCATCCATTTAGCTGTAATTTTGTCACCGCATAAAGGTTGACATCCGTCAAGGATAAACTTAAATTGAGAAAGTTATTGAAATAAATTAGCCTATGACATTGGCTAGTTTCCAATAACTCCAATTAATGGTTATGCCTAGTTTAGGCTTAATCTTGACAACAAGCTGAAATTGAAGCATTAGAGGCTTTTAATTTATTTGAAACATTTCTATTGCATTACTTAATAATTTTGCAAATGGTATGTCGGATCTTCTTGAAGAAAATTTATTGTTTGATCTTCATAATTTATAGTGATAGATTGCTTCATGTATTTATGGAAGCTTTTTTTTTTGGGAAATCAGAGGTTTATATCTCACACATAATTTGCTAATCTATCTTGGGGATAGACCATTTATTTAATTCTTTTTTGTTGATTGGTTATTATATCAACTGAGAAGTTTTATTATTTTCACGTAGTTTCCTACATGAAGAACACTTTTTAATATGATATACTATATGGGAAGCCATGGTTTCTAAACCTTCATCGGTTATAATTATTCCTTTTATTTTAAGAACTATATCTCAGTTTCATTTCTATTTTCTCGAGTAAGTTTTTGGTTCTCAATCAACTACTTTTGATTATTATTTTGGGCGGGATTTCGTGCTTTAAGTGACTTTATGATGATCAAAAACAATTTAAAACAAAGGCTAGAATTGAAACATAAGTCTCCTGCATACAAATGGGCGTGAGTGTTGGATATATAGTTAATGGATTTTTCAGACTTAAGATAAACTTTAAACTTTCTACCTTTCACAAGTAATCCTTTTTTATTTAAGAGCTGTCTTATTTTCATTTTGATTTCCTTGAGTAAATTCTTGCTTCTCAATCGATGATATACAAGTTTGATTACTATTCCAGGCAGTACTTCTTGCCTTAAGTAATTTTGTGATGATCCATGACAGTTTTATGACAGTTTTAAACAAATGGGCATGAGTTTTGGATGGTTAATGAATTTTACAGAGTTGAGATAAATGACTCCATGTTCAGCTTGTTTAGTAAATGAGATGAAAGGTCTTGTTCAGATTTGACTCATTTAATTGATGAGTGAGTTGATCATAAATCATTATGGAGCCATATGGGAACTGTGCATGAGAAAGTGTGCTTTTTTAGTATCCCTATTGGAGCGGTTCTACAAATTCAGAAGAGAGTGAGCAATTGTTGGGCAACCTATTTTGCATTTAGTCCTGGGATGAATAGTATTTCATTTTAGGCCTACAATTTATAATTGGAGAAATGAATTAACTCCCAACAAATAATCCATTAATAAGTGGTTCAAGGAAATTATAAAAAGATATATTTGCAATTGGTTAAAACATTGAATTTGGACAAAGAGAGGTGGAAACCTTACCCAGGAGAGGGAAGGGGGAGAGATAGGAAAGAGTTGTTGATGTGAGACAAAATCCATACGAAAGTAACTTGCTTAAGGAAGTTTGCACTTGTAAATTTTAGAGAGCAATGTTAAGCAAAATCCTCTATTGATGTAAACGATAAGATAACATTAAGGTGATAAAATAGCTTAGGTCTAAACACATGCGAGAGGTTGAGATCATTAAATAGTCAACTAAGTCTTACTTTGCATACATGAGTGGTTTCAACGAGAAATTCCAATGCTAACAATAAGATTAGTATTATAAAGGGCCTCTCTCACAACTCATTCAAATACTAGGTTTAGCGGAGGCGATAAAACATGTGCTTTCACGAGTAGAGTTAACTTAGAAGATAGAGAGTGAGTGAAGAGTTTACCCAAAAAAAGGAGTTATGAAGCTATGACGATGGCTGGAATGAAGGGGCAGCAGCCTTCCAACTTCTGGAACTACTCAACAACAATGGAAGCCTCTTCGGGCAGCTGGACGACAGTAGATTTCCTCAGGACAGCAGCTAGGACTGGTTCTGGACGGTTGGACAGCACCCTAGTTTGGTGTGGTCAACAGGATAGCAACCTATTGAGCTCAGGGAAACTTCTAGACAGGAAGAAGGGCTGTCCCTGAGATCTGGACAGCAATTGTCGCTCCCGGGATGGCTGGACGTCGGTGGGCTGCTGCAGGAATTTCCAAACAGCAAATTGAGATGTTGGGCAGCAGTTTTCCTGGAGCTTTGGAAGGGATTTGGGAAGGAAAAATCAGCCAACAGCTGCGGTGAATTTCGGCCAGCAAGGAGGGGAAGTGTTTGAATTAATTCTTTACTTAGGAGTAGTGGATTTGGAAGGAATTAAAGGGGTGGGGAAGATTAATCAAAAGCTGACATTTAATTTCAGTTTTGATTAAATTGGGAGGGAAAAGACTTGAATTTTGAATTTCAAGTCATAGGCATTAATGCCTTGAATGGGGGGAGTTAATGGGGGGGAGCCATGAGAGGGGCCGGCGGTTTCATGAAGGAGGAAAAGGGTTTTATTTCATAACCTGAAATTAATTTCAGGTTTTGTATGAAATTAGGGGAAAATTTATTTTGAAATTTGAATTCAAATGGGTGGCCATGAATGCTTTAATTGGAGAATTAATGAAGCATTCAAAGAGGGGAGAAACCCTCATGGGGCCGGCGGTTTCAAGAGAGGGAGAGGAGATGTGGGAGCAATTTATGAGCCTTCCAAATTAGCACGTATGCATTAGGAAGCTAGATTATGAGATCCTTTTCAATTTGAATTTCAAATTGTTTTGAATTTGAAAACTTTCCTAATTTGGCTTTGACAAATTAGGAAATTTTGGAACTCAATCAATTTTGAATTTTCAAAATTTGATTAAGTGGGGAATGGGGAAGGTGGCCGGCGGTTGGGGTTGTGGAGGAGGTGGTGGCGGAAGGTAGCCGGTGGCCAAGAGGAAGGCCGGCGGGTTGGCTCCCTTGGATTTACTGCGGGATGAAGTTGGGGCTCGGATTTCGAATAAGCGGAGTGAAAATTGGGTGTTGGATGTGGATGAAGAAAGCACAAATAAGATAAAAAGAACTTAACCACGAGCCGCGGACTCTTCCAACGACTGGTGGGCCTTGCAATTTGCTCCCCTTGAGCTCTCTCCCTTCTCTAGCTCTCATGCAAGAAAAAGTAGAAACAAAACACAATTTTCATTCAAATATCCATTCCTTCACCTCTCATGAAGAGGAGAAGGCCTTAAATAGCCAAAGGAATAAAAAAAAAATACAAAGACCAAATTGCCCCTAAGGCTAACACATGACGAGGCCTTTAAGTAAGGGCATACATGGAAAGAAATACATTATACTCATAAAACCAAATACATCAAATGTAATAAAAATCAAAAGTAGATCATGGCTGTAGATCATGCATGTCTCCTCGCGCTAGAACTCATGTAGATGTCCTCATCAGTTGTCTCATGTAGCTTGGATTGATTTTGGCTTGCAACCTTCTAAGTTGCCTTCTTATGTTCACTTTTGTGGCCTTGTTTTACCTTCTTTGTTTCATTTGAGAGTTTATTTGGGCATCTTGAATTTAGCGTCTTGTGTTATGCAACCCAATGTGTTCAGGTTTGTTCTATGTAGCTGGCCTAATATTATTTGGTTAAGTCCTGATTAGCTGGATGATATGCTGTTGCACCATGTTGAGAGATGAACTCAGACAAAAAAGTTACTGAGCTTTTTTCCATTGCTCAAAGTGAAATGAAGAGGAAGATGTTTTCATACCTCTGCTTTCTTCTTGGTGCATTTTTGATTCTTTTCTAATTTACTCACTACTTTTCTACACTTGAGCTGAAATTCTCTTAATTTTTGGGTTTTGTGCTGGTGTTAAGGTGTTGCCCTTAAATTATTTTGTTGTAAGTATGCATTAGCATATGGTCTATACATATCCTTTTGTTTTTCTCTTAGAAGGGGTTCTCTTATTATTATTATTATTATTTTATTTGATAAAAAAAAAGACAAAACTAGTAAGATAGTTGTATTAAGAGTAAAATAATAGGTTAATGTTTTAAGTGAAGTTACTAAGGAAAGATAAAAAATGGGAGCGGAATAAGTTTCTTGTCTTGTGTCAAGGCCATAGGCATAGTTGTGCCCCAGACTAGGATGACACTGCTTTGCTTTAAACTGGTATGGAAACCAGCCTAACTTCATTCGTTGATGAACTCTTAATCTCTAATTCTATGCTTTGAGACTGCATCTATTCTTCTTTAGTGCAAACACTGGGGCT